ACTAGCTTTCTTCAGACTATGGAGAGATTCTTTTTATGTTTCATGCTATTCCATACTTAGAGTGACATTAAAACATTTCCTCCATAAATATTATCCATGTTTGAATTTCAGTCCAGGGCTACAATACTGTGCTCACTGCTGCTGTCACAATGACAAGCAGGTGTTCTGTAATTCTCCAGCTTCAAACTCTCTGTCCTGGGATATAACATGTTGTAATATTTGTAAAAAGGGTTCAGGTGTGAAATGTCACTGGTTCACACCAGTTTGGGCAAACCGGTAGTAAAAGAAAAGCTACCAGTTTGTCTGAACAGGTATTTCCGACGATCAGCTGTGCCATGCGGTTTATATTCGCTAGAAAGCAGGAATCCCGCTTTCTAGTGAAGCTAAATCATGCGGCATAGCTGTTCTCCCCCCTCGCTGTTCTACTTACCTCCCAAGCCTCTTTTTTCTGCGCAAAGCGCGCCTTTGGTATGCGCTGCAAATGTGCGCACAGCGTGCTTTTGGCGCGCGCTTCGCAGCATGCTTTTTGGTGTTCACCATGCATCGTGCATGTGAGGGCAGCAAACCGGTGGCAATCCGCAGAGGATTTCACCACTGAAAGGGTTACTTGTTTTTATTCATGTGTATTAAATATATTTTAACAAGGTTATCAAGACTTTTTCAGGAACAGTTTTAAATAAACTTTTAGACATACAATTTTTTTAAATAAAATGATCTGCATTCAATAATTTGTATGTCAGGGTAATTTGCAGTGAACATGTGCCTGCTTTTTAAAACCCTTTTCTCAGTGTAATTATAGAAACCAGTGTTTTGTTTCCTACCAGCAAGCTATTCTGCAAACACCATGACTTGAATGTTTTAATGGAACTGAAAATAATTTAGTCATGATGAATATAAGGAAAAGGCAGTTCTGAGCATAAGGAACAAGTACTAAATTAGACAAGCTATTTCACTTCAGGATTGCTTTTCCCTATCCACTTGAACTTCATAACAAATGGTGAGGAAAATTAATTAGCTGTATGCATTCCTCCTTTCTAACAAAAATGGTACTTTTAATTTCTATCTTTTGATACTGAAGAAAGAACAATTATTATACATATCAGTTGATAGTTATGGTCAAAATATATTACTAAGACACAACTGCATGTTTGAGAGTTCTACTCCATTAAAGATATTAAATTGGACATCTAGAAAACCATTAAAGCGCCATTTTCTGACCTAACCATATTAAAACACATTTGCTTTGACTTTCATTACAACTGAGATACTTAATAATATTATTTTGTAGCCTTTTTAGTTCAAAGGATTGTCCTTGTTTAAAGTAAAGGGAAAATTGATGGGAAAGCGATGTATTTAATTGAAAGAAACAAAGATCCTTAATGAAAGACAATCCTGTAAAAGAACAGTAGACAAAAATCAATCAATTTCTATTATATTCATAAGCAAACTAAAATGACGATTTTTTTAAAAAATAAACTATTTATAGCATATAACTTGAAATCTTGATTACCTGAACATAGGCTATGCCATATGTAAATTGTAATATGTAGCTGAACTAGTTGTGAAAAATGAAACAAAAACCAGAATTTTCCAAGACTACAATTTTCAGTGCACAACATGCCATGTTTTTGGTTAAAATAAATTGTTGAATGTGATTTAAACACTTTTCCTAGCAAATATTGCAACAACCACCTTTTATTTAAAATGTTTTTTTTAATTTTTAACAACTTTGTTTAATGCAAATAAGGTGATCTGCTGTTTGATAGGATTTAGCTATAAGAGACTATATCTGTCTACCATCTATAAAACATCTTCCCAACTTCCAATTGCTTAGGAGACCTTAGTTTTTAGAATTTTAGGTCTGGATGACACTAAGTTAGAGAGGGTAATTTTTAAAAAAATAAAATTACATCTAAATCATTTAATAAAGTAGAGACTATTAAGTTTGGGGATGAAATGGTTCACAAATCTTTTCAAATAATATTTGTTTTTCTTCCTGTGGTGTTTCCTGTGACTGGAAGACAATGTATTCTCTCTGGTTCTTCCTACAACTCTACTTCCACCTTCTGCCAACAAGGAACAGCTTTCCAGTATGCATAAATCAATTTGCTTTCAGCAGATGAATCCTTAAGAATAATCTCCTTAAATGTATGATGCTCAACTTCAAAAGCATATGCAAGGCCAGTTACTTGGTTAAGGCAGGATGGATTTACATGATAATTAACCATGTGAAACAGCTTGAAACTCTTTTCTGTAATAGAGCTACTACATGCTTAAATAGCTATCTCATTAGTTACCTGAATCCATCTTCTGTTTAAATACATGCGTAGAAATTCTGATTTCCTTCAAAATGTTTGTAAAATCATAAAAATTACCTTGTGGAATCAATATAGAGTAATCTACTAGCATTTTGCACAATTACATTGCTAAACAACTTCTATTTTTAACAAATTTATTTTTATTATCACATTTTTACAACTGCCATCTCCCCCATGGAGCATTACTTTGATCTTTTCATTAAAAGTGAAGCTAGTTGCAGTATTGTTCTGTTCTTTAGGTCTTGGCAGAAGATCAGCTTGTTGCCTTTCTCAGTAATGTTCCTTCCCCACCCCCAGTCTAATCCATGCACAACTTTTCACTCTTGATCTGCAGAAATTTATCATTCATTCCAAACCCCTAGGACACTGGTTGGAAGATGAGGTCAAACTGCACTGACATTAGCAACTCATATTTTATCCCAGAAGTAGTTTACAAGAATTATTTTCTGATGTAGATTAATTTTATTACTTTCATTATTTTGGCAAGTTCTTTCTTAGAAAGGAAGTAATCAGAATGCTAGTCACCGGTAGAAGCAATTTATACAAAGATAATAATGGGCCTCATGCCAGGTTACATTTATGTAAATAAGATTATTGCTATTGAAGTTAAAGATAAATTAAATTCTTTCCCCTATCCGGTTGCTTTATCACTTCCCTGCCTCAGACAGTTCTAAGAGAGTTAGTTTATTCCGAGAAAGTTTGGAGTGCTTCTTATTCTGCTTCGAACCTGGATACTTAACTGATGACTGCAGCTAGAAGTGCCCTTATGCTGAATAACCTGGTATGTCAATTGTGCCATGCTTATTCAAGCTGGCCATAATGATAGAGGTCTTAGCAATGCTATATTAGTTTATTGCAGCTCTGCAATAAGGTAATATGAGCTTTGAAGAGGCTTCAGATAGTACAATTGTCCAAAGAGTAGCAGTGAGAATCGCAGTATGCTCTTGCTTACGGTAAATATACATATAACAATATACATATTTTCTGCTTCATTCAATCGTACCAGTTCCTGAAGACTGCTTTGATTACTCCCTGCAGCTTTCTTACCAAGGCTTTTCAAAAGTGATTTGCCATTGCCTCCTTTCTTGGTTTGAGAGAAAGTGACTAGCCCAGGGTCACCTAGCTGGCTTTGTGCTTAAGGTGGGACTAGAACTCACGGTCTCCCAGTTTCTAGCCTGATGCCTTAACCATTACACCAAACAGGCTCTCATATATATTATAATTATGGAACAATTGTAATTATAATGATTGGTTGCACATTCAAGACTACAGTATTTTTCGGAGTATAAAACACACTTTTTTCCCTCTTAAAAGAGGCTGAAAATTTGGGTGCGTCTTATACTCTGAATGTAGCTTTTTCGAAGCTTTTTTTCAGCCCTAACAAGTGGTAGCAACACTAGCAAGTGAAGCGATCTCCGTGCTAAGCTTTTTTTCAGTGAAGCGATTTTCCATGCTTTGCCTGCTCCCTCCGACTCTCAGCTGTGAAATTTTTTTCCAGCCCTAATGAGGTGCTAGCGAGTGAAGCGATCTCTGTGGTTTGCCTGCTTTTCTCATTGCTTCTCTCTCCAAAGATCGGTTTTGCTTTAGAAGCTGTTTTTTATTCCCAAGCAGGGGATAAAAACCATCAAACTAATGTGCTGAAGCTGACCAGACTAAGGACGCTGGCCAGATGACTACCTGATAGGCAGATTTTTTTTTTTTCCTATTTGCCTCCCCAAAAACTAAGCTGCGCCTTATACTCCGGTGCGTCTTCTACTCCAAAAAATACCATATGTTTGGACTGGATTTGAAATTTTTATCCTTCTGTTGAATCCTTCCCCATGACCTAAGATAGGCAGATGTTGTTTGATGGAGGTAAAGGTATCACTAGAAGTAAAGCTGCTGGTAATGACTTTCTCAATGCTGATTGTTCTTATCTGTTGACAAAATTGTGAAGTCACAGCTGCCTTTAGCTGGTGTTGACCTTCATATGCATCAAGTTCTTCCCAGGAGATCTAGGATGTTATAATGTATTGGTGAAATAAGCACTATATACAGATCTAAGCAGTATTTTTGTGTTAGTCTTTCTATTTGCAACTCATTAGTTTCTTATTTTCTCCAATTCTTTCTCTTCTCTTCTGTCTCCTGGGAGTGCAACATCCACTGTCCACTTTTTTACCGTTCTTACCTACACTTGTTAAGTCTGGAATGTTATGTGGCAGGTGCTTGCCTGTTTCAATTATCATTTATTACAATATAAATTATTAGCTGATTTACAGACATATTTATCTACTAATATCATTTCTAACTTCTACATGAATTATGGCCATTTATGGTATACATTTTTACATATGCAAACATATTTTCCATAAATGGATTTGTTTTTGATGAAACCAATTATTACTGTAAGTTTATATAAACAAAGTCCCTCGTGTAATATTTGGATACAACTCTATGGATACTTTCCAAGACAAAAAAAAGAAAATGGAGATTGTGTTTAGAAATACACAAAATGACTCATTTAGAAACTTGTACTTTTGTCATAGAGGTTTAATTTTATAATGTGAGGATGGGATGAACACTAGAATTTAAAACTAAATTTAACTATTACATTTTCAAGTATATTTTTCTATTGTGAATTAAGAAAATGCCATAATTTAAAATATTTTAAAAAAACAATATCAATTTTTCATTTCTTACTAGGTGGCAGTGAAAGTTATTGATAAAAAAAGAGCGAAAAAGGACACCTATGTGACCAAGAATTTGAGACGGGAAGGCCAGATCCAACAAATGATTCGTCATCCTAACATTGCTCAACTGCTGGATATCTTGGAAACTGAAAATAGTTACTACCTTGTCATGGAACTATGCCCAGGAGGCAACTTAATGCACAAAATCTATGAGAAAAAAAGGTTGGAAGAGCATGAAGCATGCAAATACATCAGACAGCTTATATTAGCAGTTGAGCATCTACATCGGGCAGGAGTTGTTCACAGGTAAGGTGAACATTGCCTGCTTCATATTTTTGGAATAATACATACCTATTTCCATCCATATCCAGGGTAAAAAGATTTTTTCCTCATCAGTTATTAGTCTTCCACTGATGTCCTTCATACGAATCGGCATTGCAACTCTCAGAATTCCAACTCAGCATAGCTATTTTTTAACCTATTACTAGTGACTCTGGTAAAACTCAATGAGATAAGAATTTATAACGAAAAATACGATATTGTATAAATTTAAAAAAAAATTCTTTTGTCACAGTGACTTTTATTCTTGATCTTTTTAATCTGGTTTATCTGGTTTATGCCTTGCACTCATTTGAGGGTTTGTTTGTTTTTTAAAAAATGTAATTCTAGAAATGGGAAAAATAATTCTAATAAGATTTGCAGATTTCATTTTTTTTCTTTCTCTTAACAAAATAACAGAGTTGGAAGGGAACTTGGAGATCTTCTAGTCCAACCCCCTTCTCAAACAGGAAATCCTATAACATTTCAAATAGTTGCCCAATCCCTTCTTAAAAATCTCCAGTGTTGGAGCAATCACAACTTCTGGAGGCAAGTCATTCCACTGATTAATTGTTCTGTCAGGAAATTTCTCCTTAGTTCTAGGTTGGTTCTTTCCCACTATGTTGTGCCTGTGAGTAGAAAAAAGCTCCCATTTTTACCAAGGTCTCTACAATGAAATCTCAATCTACAAGGTACTAGTGGAAAGTTGTATCTGCCTAATAGCCAACTTCCCCTCAGTCCAACAGTCTTCTGGAAGTAGAAGTGTAAGGATGAATATTTCAGAGCTATGGTGCAGTGAGTTGAATTATTCATCAGAGTAAGCAATAATGAAAGTTATTTATGATATAGTATATTCACCATGTTTCTGTTAGATAGCATGTAACATTAAATTCTAATTTAGTGTTGAATGCAAAACAGACTAATATGAATTACCCTTTCTGTGGAATGATGGAGACTTAGAATTCCAGCAGAGATAACCCGTCAGGTGGGTTTTGAGGCTATGTTTTTTTCAAGCACTATAGTAGGGAAGGGCATTGTTACTCAGGTGAGTCTTAATTTCAGTCTGGTATTGTCATAGGTAAGCAAGGTAAATAGTGACTGATGATGGGAGCTTCAATCACACTTTAGGGTCACAAGATGTTTGCTTGAATCAGCAGTGGTTAGATTAAGCACACAAATGGAATTGTATATAAATTAACCCCAATTTTCTGAAGCAACTTGGTGTCATAGGGATGTTTTGAAACCTAACTGCTAGTTTGCAAGATTACATTGAAAATCCTATCAATTTGTATGTATTGGGAAGCATGTAGACCTTGACTTCATGAAATATTTCATGAAACACTCAGATTATGAGAATCTCTACTTAATGTTTGTTGTGCATACTTTTATGACAGAGACTCTACCTATAAAGTATGCTTTGGAATGTGATTGAATGCTAATAAAAAATGCACATTCAAGTTTGAGAGAATATATTTTCTTTTTCTCTGGTAGAAGAAAACAATCTTGAAACCTCTTTTCAGAAGGTATTTCAGCAAACCTTTGTATTGTAAAAACCAGGATATTCTCAACAACTTTTAAAGTAATTTTAAAACTACAGATACTCAGTGTAATTACTGTCAAAACATCAAGGAAAGGAATTTAATAATGTTCCAATAGCAAAGACTGCTTCCTATGTATCTGTTTTCCACTGTTTCTTTAATTGAGGATCTGGGTGCATATTATCTTCTCAAACTTAATTATTCAGAAAACTAGCAGATTTTGAGAAATAGGACAATATATAATAGAGAACAGTCTTGCTTATTGCGTTGGATATGGGAGACAAAATTTAGTACTGTTCATGAAATGATCTCTGGCAGTAACATTGTAAGTACATCCTAATTTGCTGACCATTTGTTCAGCAACCATTTGACATTACAACAGCACATTTACAATTATCACAGTATCTCATGGTCATCATTTCTGGCCTTTCACAGTTGACTTCTGACAAGTCAGAATCCCTAACCACGGAGACTAAAGAAAGAACTTGCTATCGTACAATAAAAGATATTGTATGTAATTCCACATACAAGTGAATAATTCTTAGAGTCATCCAATGCAGATGATTCCCTATATAGAAATGGAGTGTTCAAGGTGGCTTTATAAAAAGCAAGAAACATGAGCTACTGCTGATATATGCTGGATAATTGGGAAAGCCAAAGAATGGCAAGAAAAAGTCATTGATTGTAAAAAATAATAACAACGATAGTGTCAATCAGGTTAAGCTGTGGAATGTGTTTAGAATATTGGGATCCCTGAACATAAAATCATCTCCTTGTGACTTTGAAGATGTGGGATAAATAGAGTATTGGTGCTTTTGAACTTTGATGTTTAAGTTTCTTGAGAATATTGTGGATAGCCAAGAAATGCACAAATGGATCATCAAACAAATGAACCCATAGTTCTCACTCAAGGCTCAAATGATCTGGATGAAATTCTCATATTGGCATATTATATAATAAGATCTATATAATAAGATCTCTGGAAGAAGGCTCTAATGCTAGGAAAAGTGGAAGAAAAGTAAAGAAGAGGACAACCAATAGCAAGATGGAGGGATTCAGTTAAAGTGGTGATGAGTAGCATCATTGGAAGACCTGGAGCACCAGGTTATGGAAAGATAATGAGAAAACTTACTGATGTGGTTGCTGAAATCTGATATTAGTTTGATCACACATAATCAAATCATTTTTAAACTAGCAGCTTAACTTCTACTTTCTAGATTCTTTATCAGATGCCTCAATTGATAAGATACTCTTTATAGTATAGAATGACATTTAATAGTCTGCAAAAACAGTGGATTATAAACCATGTTTCTATAACATGCATATAATCAGTAGTAACTGCTGCAATGAGCCTGATGTATTTAGGTTGTAATGTGAATCTATCATACATTATTTTCATTTTTTCTGAAATATTTTTATTAGAAAGATTATCCTACTACCTTTGATTTTGTACCAAGAATGTTAAAAGGTTCCCCAATAATCTTTCCAGTACATTTGTCTTATACTTGATTAGTTTGTTTTCATTCAGGTTTTACCATGTTATGTAGTTCAACATATTTCCTGAGGTATGCATGATATTATATATATAAATGTAATTAATGCTTAGGTGTATATATTCTGGATGTGATATATGATACAGTACATTGCACAGTTTCCATTGTGATTAAAGGCAATAGTTGGTATTAACATGGCTTGCAGTATCTGGTTCCTAGTGCGTATTTAATAAGGTTTTCTTTCAGTAGCGTTTCTTTGGCTTTATCATTTTCAGTAATAAATATGTGTCATAATTTGATGTAAATTTTTATTAGGAACTCTTGAGTTACTGGAATTGTTCCATCCAGTTGACTCTGCTAAGTACTTTACTATAATAAAGTACTTTGACTGTTGAAAGGTAGTTATTAAAACATATTACCATATTAGGAATATATTTAGACTAAGAAACACTTCCTTTATTTTATTTCATTATGACAAACAAAGAGAATGATCTCTTTCCTCTCCTGCCATCCTGAGATAATTCCTCTTTGGTATTTGCTATTTGCCTTGGAGAAAAAGATCCTGCTGGCACTTGTGCTTTTCTCTCTATTCAGACAGCTTCAAAAGGCATTTTTCAGTTTACCTAAAACTTATCGTATTCTGTTCTAAGAAAAAGGACATTTTCACTTCCTGTCTATTCTAATCCAAGTAATTATCCCATCCAATGACAGTTGTGTTAAATGTAAAATTTGTAATGAAGCATATTGAATACATAGACTGTGTTCTAAACATAAAGTCCCTAGAAATAGTCAAACAGTAATACAACCTGCTAGAATTGGATTCATTGTCAGAAGTCTTGAAGACTGACTTTTTTAAAAAATAAATCCAAAGTTAGCTTTTCTCCTGAACCTTTTCATTCACACTTTTTTCATTTACATTATGGCAGTTCATGTATTTAAATAAAAGCAGGTATTGGCCATCTTTTTCTAGCATTTTGATGGAAAACACAGTAAAGAGGTAGTAATGTAAATTAATGGAATATGCCTCTAACGTGGGGATGGAGCCCCAGTGAGCCTTAGAAGATATAGAAAAAATGATTGCAGAACTGCATGGACCCTTGGGTCTCACATTGATCGCTCTTAATAGAATAACAGAATATTTTATTCATAATTGATATTTTGAAGATGTATGTTAAAGCTGAACTAGCTTGTTCTTTATAAATTTTTATAGGAATGATTAAACTTACTGCATTCTTTTTTAACAAATTTACACTTATTTGCTTTTATGGCATTGGCATAATGCCTGTTTGCATCAACTTCAAAATAACAGATCTATGTATTCATTTTTATGAGAATATAGCCAAATATATTTTTACTTCATATTTATATAAAAACAAGAATTATACCAATTTGTACAAAAAGATAATCACAATTGTTAATGAAATTTTGAATATTGAAAGTTCAGTTGTTTGAAATCTCATTTAATATCTTTGTATATTGCAGAGATCTGAAGATAGAAAATCTTTTGCTAGATGAAGACAACAATATCAAACTTATTGGTATGAAAGTCTTATAGTAATTGTAGTCTTCAGACACTAATCAGCATTTTTGTCATAAATTAACAAAATACTTGGCTTTTAAAAATATTGAACTTTTACAATTTGATTATATATGTAATTCAGGTGTTTCTTTACAAACACACAGAAAATATAGTAAATTTAAATATATATATTTTGTGAAGCCTTTCGTCTAAAGCATGCTGAATGGTTGGAGAAGTAGAATAAACATCTTCCTTTGACATTTGGATTCCTATTTTAAGTGACTTAAAGTTTAAGATCTTTTTGATGCTGCAATCAAATGGGATCTTTGTTCACACAGTATGAAGCAAACTTTAGTGTTCAATCAATACATTTGTCTGCAAAATTAAAATAACAAGTACCTTGAGAAAACTCAAAGGTTTCTTGATTGTACCTCTGTCTTTAAAAATGCAGTGTTTGCATTGATCAGACACATTCTGCAGAAATCATAAATGAGTCATCTTTTATTACTATCTGTGTAAAACTCCCATCAATGTTGTGGGCATTAAAAGGAAAATATCCCCCCTATAAAAGCATCTGCTTAGGGATTTAATTCTGCTGAGTCAATTCATTTTGTCACAGCAGTGAATGTGAATAAAGTGAGTTAAAAACAGGCATTACTACCTCTTAAGTGGGCCAGAAAATCTGTGAAACAAAGCTTTGTCTCATATGGCTTAAGGGCACTTATGAGGTGACAATTTGGCAAAATAGCTTTGGGGAAAGGCACCACTTTGGGAAAGACCTATATAACACCTGTATGTAAGAAATAGCATTCACCAGTGTATTGAAAAATACATATTACCATCAGCCAATCAACAACTTAGTTTAAAGCCTAGGTGACAGCAAAAGTATTTTAAACTTGTATTAACATCTGGTAGCTTTTGTTCTTATAATGGGCTGTTTGATTACTCCAGAACATATAAAGCTGGCTTCTGTATGCAGTCACTGCCAAACAATATATATAAAACAAAACTAGAATATAACTATTTTGCATTTGCTTTAGTTCCTAAACATTTTCTCACTGTAGACTGTGTAAGAAGATGCTGTAGAACAGTGTTTCCCAGCCTTGGCAACTTTCAGATGTCTGGACTTCAAGTCCCAGAATTCTCTAGCCAGCATGCCATAGAACAGGGGTATCAAACTATTTCATTGAAGGCTGCATCAGGGTTATATTTGGGGGCTGGGGTGGGCGTAGCCAGGGTGGGCATGGCCAACTCAACATCACTCATGTCCAGGGCGCAGGTGGTGGCCTGAGCACATTCCCAGCAAAAACGGGCTCCCAAGTCCATTTTTGGGACCTCCTGCAACCCTCTGTCAGTGAAAACAGAGCTCAGGAGGGCTGCATGCGGCCCTCCCAGGCTCCATTTTTTCTGGCAGAGGCACTGCGGGCTGGTCCTTTGCTGTTGCCAGGGTGACCCACTGGCCAGGTCTAAGCACCCTGTGGGCCGGATGTGGCCCCCAGGCCTTGAGTTTGACACCCCTGCCATAGAACATAAGAACATACCATAGAAATTTCCTTGGTTTTATACAGTTCTGACAGCCTCAAATGCAGCAGATTGTTATGTATCCAAGAGCAAAGTCTATTAATACCCTTTGTTAACAAAGGACCAATCTTAAAATGAGGATGAGAGTTATTTTCAAAGGAAATATTAATATTGATATTCTTTTAATGGAAAGGTTTTGATTTGAAATCATAAGTTATAAACATTTTAATTAAAAAGCGTAGGTTACTTGAGTATATTTAAGTAAATCACAATTTAAAGTAGAAGAAAAGCACTGCCTGTCTAGGGTTCTATTAGTGCTGCTTGTTTGAGGTTAATTGTGCCTTTTTTATATTTAGCTCTGTTGTGTTTGTTATATCTTGCAGCTGAGTGTTTTAACTGCATGTGGACACAATTCCTATCAGGTTCCATTTAAGAATATTAAGCTATTCACACCCAGTGGTATACTTCACTCTTTTTCATTTTCCAAGGTGGATCAGTATGTAAAAAAACTTGCTGATATTAAAATCAAATGCCCTTAGGGAACTATAAGGTATAGATAGGTTTTAGCAGAATAAAGTGCTTCACAGAAGCAAGAAAACCAGAATTATACCCCAGGAAATTATGCTTATGCTTTTGGAAGATTATTTCCATTTTTTTTGTATAATTTAAGAAAGCAGCATTCAGATTACAATTCTGTAACCTACCTTTACACCCAACCAGGTGCTTTATAGATATGGTCGACTACAAAAGCCATGCTAGTTAGGAATGATGGTAATTGTGATCCATTATGTCTTAAGAGTGCCAGTTGAGGAAAGTTTCTGCTTTAACTAAAACAAGATTTATAAAAAGAAAAATAAAATAATAAGAAGGTAATAAACAATAACTGTTTAGAGACTACAGCCTTTCTAATGCAGCATTTAAATGTGTATTCTTTGTTTTTTCCTCACAGACTTTGGCTTGAGCAATTGTGCAAGTATCCTGGGCTACACTGATCCATTCAGCACCCAATGCGGCAGTCCTGCTTATGCAGCACCAGAGCTTCTTGCAAGGAAGAAATATGGTCCCAAAATAGATGTTTGGTCCATGTGAGTTAATATAGTTTAAAACCAGCATATTCTCTCTCCACATCGTGTTTACACTAGCAAAAATTAATGTTTATTTAAAATGGAATATTTTTACAAAATATTCCACTTTGAAAATGGATAACTGATTTTATTTGCTAGCATTGGCATAGTTTTGCTGTTTTGTTCTGTCTTCTAAACCTATAGTACTGCACTCCATCTCTTAAGTCAGAATTGGATAAACTGAAGCTCCAAGGGACTCCTCTGTCCCCTTGCTGTGGCCCTTGAGCTCCAGCCACAGTCGCCAAGAGCCAGCACTGTTTCCCACCATTTTGATATGGAAAACACATACATGCTGTAGGCTAAGCCCTAAAATAGCCCTCTTATAATTCATGTTGGAAGAGATGATATATCAGGGACTGAACATCTACTTTACATCTGTATGTTTTCAGGGTCAGGGGTTGCTTTCCAAATAATAGGATCTTAGGAGGCAGGGGAGATTGTTGTGGATTAAATACACCAAGAATGTCCTAATATGTTATTTTATGTTCCATAAATTATAGCTGTTTACCATTAAACATAATCTCTTTGCATCTTTTGTTTCATTTCCAGTAGAACTTTTTGCTTACCCCTTTTCCCCCACCACCACCACTCTTCTTTTGCAGTGGTGTGAATATGTATGCAATGTTGACTGGGACACTGCCATTTACTGTTGAGCCATTCAGTCTGAGAGCTTTGTACCAGAAGATGATTGACAAAGAAATGAATCCATATCCTACTCAGCTTTCCACAGGTAAATGTATTTAAGTGTTGCTGAATTTTTTTAGCTTCTATTGTAGGTGGCCCTTAGTTAATAACAGTACTTGGGGTTGGAAACTCCATCGCTATGTGGTCAGAAAGCACATGTCCACATGATTATGCTGATTTACAATGGTAATCCCTATTGCCATTTTTAGGTGAATCCCACATGGCACAATGTCACAAACGTTGATCATGTAACTGTGGAATGCTGTGATATCATAATTGCAAGCCAGTTGCCAAGCATTGAAATCATGATCACATGAATGCTGTGATAGTTGCAACTACAAGGACCTACAAGTCATAAGACTTCTCATTCAGCACCATTGTAATTTTGAATGGCTGCTGAACCAGAACTACCTGTAGGCTCATAATTAAAGGTGGGCACTGCAGTATTAACTTCTTGTGGACAAGAGTTTGCACAAATTGTTAATGAAATTGCTAAAGAATTTGTTCCAGCACTTCAGGTATTATTTTTTATTAGTACATTTAAGAACTTTACTGCTCTTCCATAGAATAGGCTGCCCAAGAGTAAATTCTATTGATCTCAGTGGGACTTGTTCCAGCTTTATATCTAAAAATAATTTATTCCAAAGCACCACAGAGGTATGAAAATATTATTTAATCTTTTTCTGTGGTACACCAAGCCTTGTAGAATTATTTTTTTTAGTTTTCACATACATTTAAAGATAATAAATAGAAGTAATATATCTGTGATTAAATTCGGTTTCCACATTACTAAATATTTAAACAGTTGTATATTTAACTAAGGAGAACAAAGACTCCCCCTTCAAACTGTCACTGTTTCTTTTCAACAATTTTCTTGATATTCCATACAATTAATGCATTTGATATTTTGTGCAAAAGATTTCCCAAAGACAGTCAGTAGTACTGGCTGGTTTATATTCATACTTCCAGTTCATGGTAATCTTATATTCAAAACCCCAACATACTGAAAGTGTTAGCCACATCCTGCTGAAATCCTGGACAATTCCTTTGTTGGCTTTAGATACAAAATGCTGCCTTTCCCATCCCAAATTTATTTTAAGTATCAGGTTAGAAGATTACATCTAAAGAAAAGGAAAGATTTTGTTTGTGAATTCTTGTATGAAGTGGCAATTACGGGCAATTTGGAGCTATATAATTGCATACCTGTTTATTTAATGAATCATTTATACTTTGTTATATTTTCATAGTAGTTTTATCTTGTTTTGTTCCTGTGTGGAATTGAGGTAAATCAGCTAACCCAATGTTTCAAATGGTTGTGTACTAGATGTTTTCTGGGGCCAAAAGAAGTAAATAGAGACTTTTACTTTTTCTTGGGCAGTATTTGGAGGGAGTTATTTGTTAATTTTTATAAAAACAATATCATTATTGTGAAAAGTAACTAATATTATTATCAAATTTATTTGCTGTCTATCTCGCTGTTCAAGGTGACCCTTAATATAAAAATTCATAACCCTCCCAAATTAAAAAAAAAGGTCTAGCATTAAAAGAGTAGGCAGTTTTGATGAGTTAACAAATTGTAAATATTAGTGTAGCAATTTAAGTTATTTCAGTGTTATGCTACTTAAAGTGTTGTGATTCTGTCTGTATAGTGTAGTTCTGACAATATTAACTATGTGTTTTCCAGAGACAGCAAATTATGGCATGCTGCATAACATTGAGAGCCAGTTTGGTGTGATGGTTACAGCATCAGGCAAGAAACTAGGAGATTTATGAGTTCTAGTCCTTCCTTAGGCACAAAGAAAACCCAGGTTGTTGCCCGTGGGCTAGTTATTCTCTCTCAACCCTAGGAAGTAGGCAGTGGCAAAAAATTTCTGAAATTTGCTATGAAAACTGCAGGAACCTGTTTAAGCAATTGCCAGGAATCAGTACTGAACTCAAAAGCACAAAAACAATTGTATAACAGCACACATCAATGTTAATTTAAAGTTGTCCTTTCAATGATTACAATGTAATGTCCATGGGACCTTATTTGTGAGATGGTTGGAACAACTAAAAACAGCTAGGAATCTCATGTACCAAATGTCACCAGTATGATTTTAAAGTATTCAAGGGACCATATGGAAACTGAGGAGCTTCATGCTGTCCATGAGTTGTGGGTTGCTTATCTTTAGTGTAAAATAAACAATTTCAGATAACTAGTCACTTTTCGAAAGCGGTTTTATTTGTCATTTGAAAACACATGCCAACAACAAATTCTTAATGCAAATATTCTTGTGTATCATATGTGACATAGACTGTATAATATCCAGGTCAGCAGAAATAACGATTGCTGCAGGATGTTCAAAACAGATGTAATATTGGCCAGATAGTATCTAATCCTGATTTATTGGACAGCATCCTTTCTCTTCCTTGTCTTTGACCTATTGTGGAACATGAACATATACTTCCTTTTCCTGATTTCATGTGGAAAACCTTTGACATGGTTGTTTGCTAGGATAGTGATTAAGCAAATCCCTTTGTACAGTTGTGAGAGGATGGGTGACAATCTGCTTGTGAATGATATCCTTTAAGACAAATTTGATGTCTTCTTGTTACACAGATAGAAAACACGAATTCTGCATCTTATTCAGACATGTGAAATGCAGAAATAGATACAGTTCTGTTCCTTTTAGTTGGGTTGGTATTTTTAAGAGCAGAATACTGTTAGAATGTTTTCCAAGCATTTACCAGTATTATTTTAGCACAGAATTCAGATGTTTTCTCTAGTCATCGGATAATGGACCAAGTGGGCCACTCACACAATTGCAAGTGGTGATTCCACTGGTGAAAGTGGAACTTTCTGGTGAAAGTTACATGAAGTAGAAATGCCAAGTGCATGCCTCATTAATTTATTGCTGACTATTCATTTAAATTATTATTAAACCATAATTCATTGCAATCATCATGGTTGATCTACATTAATCAATGCTGCTATCACTGAATAGTTGAAAGCATATATTTGTCCTTCTGATGCTAAACAATAAGTTTTTTGATTGTAAGTTCCTTTTCTTTGTCTAGAAGACCCTTCCCATGTGACTAAGTAACACTATATTTAAATAAAATATCTCTAACAACATTAATGTAATTAAGTCAAAAGGACTGTCATTGTCAATCATAATTATATTCTTACAATATTCTTATTATTTGTTAAAATATAGAATTTAGTATTTCAGGTTTAAGTTTGTATTTTTAAACCTTAGCATAAAAAGTGGATAATTAGCCACTGATAGGGCAATCAGTCCAAATTCTGCCATAGCAATATTTATTAACTACACTAAGATGCAAGACTTGAATGTTACACTAAGCAGTAAAGTTATTGGTTTGGTTTTGCCTTGATGTATTGAGTCAATCTAGTGCTATCTTTTATAAACCATGAATTAAAATTGGATGTAAATTTAGCTACTTTGAAGTATTCAAGAAAACTTGAATAAAAGTAATCATTGTGTCATGCAGTCTGGAATATAGCCATTGGAATTTATAATTCAAAGCTGGTCAAAATGATTATTTAAACTACAACTGTTTATAAAGATTGAATTATCTATCTTATTTGGGGAGGTATTATTTTCTTAACTACTGAAGTTATCTTTTTCATTACTGTATACCAGTAAGAGACTTCCTTAGCTTAATGTATAAAAGCAATGTGTAAATGTAATTATTGTATATCAGATTTTGAAAGAAATATTGTTATTCTAAAATACCTTAATACCTTATTTGGCTTCAAAAGAATAAATATAGTTACAAAGAAAATAACACTTCCTCCCCCTCCCTTTTTTTTCAATGTCTTTGCAGCAGCTGTAAACTTCTTAAAAATTCTGCTAGAACCAGATCCTGCAAAGAGACCAAACATCCAACAAGCATTAGCAAATCGTTGGCTTAGTGAAAATGGGAAAGCACTGAATAATGTTACTTATCCAAACAGGTAATACACAAAAGGCAGAATATGCTGGGTATTCTGCCAACATGATAAAATCCCATCAAAGACATTGAGGTGCCTCTGATCAGAAAGCTGGATTGGAGGTTATGTTTCTTTCTTAATTTCTCTTTCTTCACATTCCTCTGCGCTCACTTCTTAATTCCTTTGGTATTTACAAGCTTGAAAATTCTTTGGGAAAAAAATCATAGTGGTAAAGAACAAAGTTACAAAATAATACATTTTTCAGCTAAGTTGCTCGAGTAATCAAAATGCTCTCCTACTATTATCTCCGCATTTAAGAGGAAAAAAAATTTAAATGCAGAGAGCATAATTCCTTGGTTAGACAATCTTCTGGGTTGATAACTTCAGGGAGATTTGACCTGGAGACTTCTCAGTTTCTTCACTTTCCTTCAACCTGACTGCTTGGCTGCTTCCTACTTTTGGGTTTCATTCTGCTCAGTCTTCACGGGTTCCTTAGGAGGAGGACAGAGTATGGTGCAACGATGACCATTCTGGGTTCTGATTTAGGATTGCTCAGATTAGTTCCAAAAGCACTGATGGATCCTTAGGTTTGCCACATTGCTTTTTCACAGCTTTGCTGTGGAAGTTGAGCCTTCCCAACCTAAATAAAGAGGGTTTTCTTAGGATAAAAACCCTTAATAGTTGTGAAATGCTAGTTACTATGGTAATGACGGTTATGTAACACATGGGTGGATATTAATACAGCAGGGAGGCTGGTACCTTTCTAAACATCTAGTTTAGCTTTTATATGATGGATACAAACATTACATTTATGTTCTGCTGCCTAGTTGCTGCTAGGCAGCAAGAATGAACGAAATATACTACAGTAAATGAACTGCAAGAAAAAAAATGATTGATTTGTATGGCAGAAAATGAGATAAATCATTATCCAAGCATTGCTGTTCTGTTATCAGATCTGTATATCACACATTTTTAAGCAAAAACTCTTCTCTCTTGAAAGTGGAAAAAGTTATAAACTTGCTTAGAATGTTACACAGATGGATCATATATGCATTTTAAATGTCACATCAATATCCCAAATGTGATCCACACATTTGGTTGTTAGGATTTTCCAGTTAGAAAAATTGCAGTGTTTCAGGCAGGGCATTGAATGGGCAGAGCATAATTTGACATCAAAGTTACATTTTATGAAGTCATACGTGGGAATTGGTTCTGAGAATTATGATTCAATGGTATTTGTAAAAAGAATTTATTTAAGCTTTTTTTATCCAAATCAAGCATAGAATACAGTAGCAGCCATGGAAACAATAACACGAATCAAAATAAAATCCTGAAACACAACCCAGGGCGTAGTAAAATCTAAAAGTTTTTCTAACTAGATTTTAAATTGAAACTGATGAGTCAGTGTACGTGCCAGGTAATCTCTGATGGAAGGGCGTTTCATAATTGCAGTTAGAATCTGTGAGCTGGATAAGTTATACTGTAAAACTGTCAATTTACTGACTATAAGAAAGAAAGGGCTATTAGACCAATATTACAGTTATATAAAGGCTTACTCAGAAGTATAGTTAAATAGGGAAATGCTTAGCTCCATAAAAATATGTAGTATTGTAATCTAAAACTCTAATTCCAGTAGTAGCCAGCCAGCTAATACTTATAATACATTGTAATAACTTCACAAATGTAAAAACACACTCTTTTCTTCAGAAATCAATAACCAAGGGTACTGCTTGAGCATGCAAGTGTAAATTTTCACTTCTTCTAATACAGATAGTAGGACAGAAAACTTAATTTTCATGACACTAACAAGCAGGGAGGAAATGAATAATCTTCCCGTTTTCTGTAATTTTTAGCTGTTTGCATTTTTAAAAATGCAAATATTTGTTTAATATAGCCTGTATAGTTTGATCCCAAATCTGAACAAATCAAGAATCAATTTTCAGGAAGATTGAAACAGTCTTTGGTCCATTTCTTTGATACGTAATATTAAATGTGCTACTTTTGCTGATATTTTTCACTCTGTAGAACCTTAGGATCTGGGGAAGATTGTTGAATTTGTAAAACATGCCACTTTTAATAAAGATTTATTCTGCACATTTAAAAGAAGCAATAATGACAACTTGCTTTTATAAAATAAAGTTCTTTGAATTCTACAAGGGATAATTTCCAATTTTCAGTATTCCTTTGAAGGGGGTGGGCGGGGGAAGTGCTGTAATATGTACAGGTAGTCCTCAATTTACGATTGTAATTGAGCCCGGAATCGTGGTTGTGAGTCGAGTCAGTTAAGTGGATCATTACATGACTGACCTGATTTTACCACAGTCATTAAGCAAATGGGGTGGTTGGCTCCTCTTTGGACTAATATAACTTTCTTTATGTGAAGATTTGAAAAATGTTTGGAGTTTTTGTTAATTCAGGTGCCTCATCCAGAAGGTTGACAGTGCTTAGTTATAGTGAGCAAGTGGCCTCTCTTGTTAATATCTGTGAATCTGATTCTGTATATAATTTAAAGTACTGTCAACCATATATAGCTTGGCATCAGGCTATGTGACAATTACATTGACCCTTATAACCGCAACTTTGTTTTTAATTTGGCCAGCATCAAGAACAGATTTGGTGAGATTATGAAAAAGAGAACAGTGGTTCTTTGCAGGCTTTGGAAACCCCTGCCAGAGAGAAACATGTTGGAATGTTTTTCCTTAATTAACCAGGCTTTTGATCTGAGTCTAGGTAGATGCTATCAGTTTTAACTTATATTCAATTATACTTGCTTGTGTTTTCAGTTATCTTTTATTTTTATAGCCACTGAAAACAAAGCATCAATCCAATGTAAATTACCACTTGGAGAATTTTATTAGTTTTGGTAATAATTTAAACCAGTACAGGGAAAATACAATGGCATTTATTTTTTTGATGAACAAATTCCATGTAGCTTTTTATAAGATGTTATCATAAGCACACTTAAATAAATAATTACTGATCTTTAGTTGTATGTTTCAAAAAAAACAATTGCCTTTATTTTTGAGACAAAATAAAATGCAGACATAAGTTGGAATGTTGCAATGACAATGGACATTTTTCATTTATATCTGTATAATCAAAATCTGTATAAAGCAGTAGTAATAAAATAAGAAATCTTTTGTAATCTGAATTTAAACATTTAGCCCTTGATTCAGCCAAAGTCAAGCACTTTTAATTTGCTTAATTTTAATAGGAGAATTTAGAAATTCTTAATTTCTTGCTACTGAATTGTTATTCATATTAAAGCTTGAAAAAAATGATTCATCTTAGTTGGGTTGCTTTGAAAATATTTATATAGAAGTCACATGCGACTTGTCTACTATCAATTGAGAATCATGTTGCAGAAATAATCTGAAACAGAAACTGGACACTTTTAAGAGCCCGGCACTGAATGGTGGTCTGAATGAATTTAAAACTTCTTAATTGAATACAGTTATGACAATATTTGAACGGCTCTGTTTTAAGAGTTTTATTGCATTAGTTTACAACAGGGGTGTTAAATTCGATTTCATTGAGGGCCACAACAGGGTTGTGTTTGACTTTGGGGGGCTGGGCTGGGCATGGCCAGGCTGGGTGTGGTCAGCTCGACACCACTCATATCGGGGGCACCTGTGGTGGCCTGAGTGCTCTGCCAGTGAAAATGGGCTCCCGAGCTCCATTTTCAGTTGCGAAGGCCTGCTGCATCTTCTAGTGAAAACGGATCTTGGGAAGGCCACTGCATCTTCCAGTGAAAACGGAGCTTGGGAAGGCCACATGTGGGCTTCCCGAGCTCTGTTTTCACTGGCAAAGGCCCCAGGCCTTGAGTCTGACACCCCTGGTTTACAACTATCTGTATAGACGAAGCTCTGTTCTATTCTTTCACAAAGGGTACTCTCTAGACTAGCAATTCTAGAATTCCTAGACAGACAGTAATGCTAACTAGGAGTTCAGGGAATGTCAGTCAATACCTAGAAGATACCAGATTTTAGAAGACCGTTTAATCAATTGTTCCATTCCCTGTCATGCAGGGAACTATTCTTTATTATTTAAGTGTTTCTTGAGGTAGAGACCAAGGTTGTGCCCATTGGCTTTAGAAAGCACAGAAACACGTACACTCAAAATTCTACAATAGAAGTGGAAATTATATACACGATTAATAGTTCCAACATCAGTCAGTCAGTTAATCAATGTTTCTTTGAAAATGAGGAGAACTACATGATTAATGGTCCATTTCCCCACTAAGTAAATAATGATTCTTTTAAAATGTGGATTACCCTACCCAAACTGGGTTGTGAATGTCTACCATACAGATACATTTCAAGTATACAACATTTTTCTTTAAAAACATATTAACAATTTGTAGCTTGCTCTTTTCAACATAGCCTGAACACAATTATCAGCTCGATTAAATCTTTTTATCATATTAAAATAACATGGTGATTTTCAAGGATGCCTTTAGAATTGCCATCTTTCTCCTGAGAACCCTGTAGATAACCAACAGGTAGTCCTTGAGATACAACCATAATGAGCCCTGCCCATTACAGTTGCATTTCACAACTGCTGTTAAGAGAAGCATTCCACTTAACAATCCCATCATCCTTGTTCTTCCCAGTGAATTGTTAAACAAATGTTCAGGTTGTTAAATGGAGTATGGGGTACCTCAGGAGTGGGGGAGGCCCGTGGAGACCTAGCACAGGCACAGGCCTACCTTCTCCTTCCTGCCCCTTGGATCTTCACAAGCCTTTCCCTACTGCCAATAGGTTTCCCCAAACCTTAGATCTGATTCCCATCCCACCAGGCCAAATACCCTCCTCCTCTTTTGAAAAGCTCTAAGGCCTTCCAGAGTGCTGGAACAGATTGCTTTATCTCAGGGCCATGTTCAGGGGGATAAGGCCAGCAGAAAGCAATGGAAGAGGGAGAGAGAAAGATAGGTGGGAGCACTGCAATGTCCCTGTGGATGAATGAACATGGGGACTGCAGTGGCCATACCAGGCCAGGACGAGGTCATAAGTAGCTTTTGGTAGATCCACCATAATTTCAAATAGCCATTAAATGACTGATTATAAATTATAATTAATCTTTTTTGCAGAATTCATCTACAAGACATAAGTCAGAGCGTGCTGCTGTACATGACAGAAAAGCTTGGCTATAAGAATAGTGATGTGATCAACACTATCCTTTCAAACAGAGCTTGCCACATGCTTGCCATCTACATCCTTCTTAATAAGAAGCTAGAACGCTATTCAGCAGGCGTAAAAGTAAGTATAATTTTAGATAATTGTTGACCCTAACAAAGTTGAATAGAATAACAGTAACCAAAAATGGAGATACTAAGAAATAAGTACAGTGTGCATGGGGAAATCCGTCAACTTTGCAAAAATAGGGGAAAAAAACACGAACCACCCGCGCGGGTGGTAATGGGAGCGACATGGCGTTCCCATGTAACACCTCTCCTGTGCGAGCTGCAGTGGCTCCCGGTGGTCTTCCGAGTGCGCTTCAAGGTTTTGGTTACCACCTTTAAAGCGCTCCATGGCTTAGGACCCGGGTACTTGCGGGACCGCCTACTACCACCAATAGCCTCCCACAGGCCGGTACGCTCCCATAGAGAGGGGCTCCTCCGGGTGCCGTCAGCCAAACAATGCCGACTGGCGGCCCCCAGGGGGAGAGCCTTCTCTGTGGGGGCACCTACTATCTGGAACGAGCTCCCCCCAGAGATATGGAGGATCCCGGATCTGCGCACCTTCCGCCGCGCCTTAAAGACCTTACTATTTCACCAGGCCGGCCTGGCCTAATTTTCCCCCTCTTTTATAAAAGATTTTTAAAATTTTAAACATCTTTTAGTATTTATATATTCAATTTTAAATTGGTTTTAAAAGTTTGGGGTTTTAAATTTGTCGGGGCCAAAATTATTTAATTTGATTTTATTCTATTTTTTAAATTTTGTATTGTATGTGTTTTTATTGTTTGGCTGTGCACCGCCCTGAGTCCTTCGGGAGTAGGGCGGTATAGAAATCTAATAAATGAAATGAAATGAAATGAAAATATGTAGAACTTTAAGGGAACAGTCATTCATTGATCATAGATTGCTGAACATCTCTTGGAAGGAAAATTAGGGAATGGAATATCTGGGGGGAGGGGGGAAAGAAGCAGAGCTGCTTTGAATAATTAAGAATATCCTTGGGCAAAAACTACTTTCAAAGCCGCTTTCTCTGTACATACTGTAAAAGCCTTTTTCCATTGGTCTGTCCCACTCTGCCAACATTTCATTGTTCTTTATTATAACAAATAAATTTACCTTAGCAAGGGCTAGTTTGTTTTTTTCAAGTTACAGGGAATAGTGACGCTGTAGTCTACCAGGGTAAACTGGTAAACTTTAATTGAAATAGACCCACTTTGATTCTATCTGCTTATCCCATGTACATTTTCAAACTATTTAACCCAGCCAGGCAATAATGAGTGAGCAGCACAATGAATTAATCAATAATTTATTAGATTGTGAGAAACATAGATACTTTTTCTCAGTATACAATGCTTTTTGTGACTTTGAAACTGAAAATAATTTAATTATGTAAAAGTTAGGTATTGCTGTCCATAATTTTAATAAATTTTCTTAAAAACAAATTTTGCACAATCCTAAATGTGTTTCTTTTGAAATTATGTTTATTTTAATGTAATTATTGATTTATCTAGAAATGACTTAGGTGACTTTGGAAGATGTGAGTAAATCTATATTAGAAAAGAATATTCATATTTTTCAAACATTATGCAAATATCTGAATTAAAAGTAAATCAGAATAAACTTCTTTTTGAAAATCCAGTCCTGGGGTGTGATTTATTTGGAGTCAAATCTGAGTTTAGTGCTTTTTATACCCACATAGGTATGTATTGTATAGATTTTTACAGTTAGTCCTCAACTTCATGTCCATAATTTCTGTTAATAATTTGCAAATAGATTTGGTAGTTTAAAAATGTTATGACCCAATTTCACAAAGGGACAGGAAACTAATATTGTAGTAATATATTAGACAGTATTCATCTAGGGGGATAATATATGTATTTTTAATGCACTTTTTAAATGTCTTGTTTGTTTGTTTGTTTTGGGTCTTTTCTTCATTTGTTTTTTAATTTTTGGAGTTTTGCATTTTAATTTTTTTTAATAAAATAAAAATAGAACCAATAAAAGAAAGTAAAATAATAATCATAGATCAGTTCATGACTGATGCTTGCCCTTACTGTCCATAGTCTAATCCATTTAAACAAAACAATTCTCACCTCTGACCTCATGCAACAAAACTTTTTTATTTGTCCTCCAGTATCACCAATACAGGTATCTGTTCCATTCTTTACATTCCCTTTCTGCGTGATTATTGGGGAAATTCCATAGTATGACAAATATTTGATTTACTGTGTTGCAATTGCAGTAGCTGGAATTTTCCTTGCAGCATTTTGCAGCATATTACTATATCACATCTATCACAAATGTTTTCTGGCTTGATCTATTCCAGGATATTTCAGCCCAATTCTTCTCCTTTTTCTGCTTCTCTTTTCATGTTTATTTGTCAGTCAATGTGCCATTTTAATCCTTGGGTTTATTATTACTATTATCATTGATAAAAAACAAATAGTTAAATAAAACCTGCCATGGGTACAAATTCCCACTGTCATTTGCTTTTATTTCTGTTATAACTCTTCATTTTATTTTAGTGTTAGAATCAGGGTGGATTTGATTTAAATTGAGTTGATTTAAATCATGATTTAAATCACTAGTAAAAGACTTTAAATCATAATTTTTAAAGAGCAACTGTCATCTCTGCTACTCCTTTGACCCACTGTTGACTCACCGATAGTCCCAGTGTTGCCCAATATACAGCCTTGTGCTACATAACTAAGCTCCACTTCATGCTGAATAAACTAAATTATTTATGTATCTTAAATAGAAAACTATCTTACGATAGATTTTTACCCCAAAAGTTTTTTATTAAAATAAATTCAATAAAAATCAAAAAAATCTGATTTAAATAAAAAAATCCGATTTAAATAAAAAAAATCCGATTTTTTTAAAAAAATCATTGATTTTTATCCACCCTGGTTAGAATGAATAGTACTTATCTTTCAGGGCTATTGTGCTACAAAAAAATCAACCCATTGTATATCTTACATTTGAATACATTTCCATTGCAATGAATCAATAGCAGTATCAATATTTTATTCTTAAATGACATGTCTCTGTGTTACAGCAGATATCTTAGTAGTATGTGATTATGTGCTCTTAAGTAGATGTCATTGCTTAGCAATGACAAAGATTTTCTCCTATATAATAATATATATTACATTCTATTAAGTACATGAGCCAAGTTCTTTTTAAAAGCAAAATACAAGTCATTCAGATTTTGTAGGGATTTTTTTTTGTAATAATGGGGGACACCTTTATAGTCTACCAAAAATGACTAAAAAATTCATCTAGTTATTTAGTTGGAGAAATACTGCCAATTTCTTGGCCTTTGAATTGACTTATTTTTTCCTTTCACTTCAAAGTATAAATTTCCACCATTGTTTCTTTGAAGTTAAATAAATATTAATTTGTGCATTTCATCATTAACCTGTCCTTTGGGTTCACATGATGATTCTTTTTGTGAAATGTGAAAAATGTGACCATTAATAAGGAAATTTATTATAACCTCTCTGCCCTTTGGATAGTTCCCGTTAATCATATTGAAATGATTTTGAGGCTTTTTTATTTAAATATCAAAGAAATTGTCTGAACTAAGTTTTTGAAGTGCTATACTGTACTTGCTTTCCAGTTTAATTGCATTGTCTAGTTTATAGGAATGGGAAAGGAATAAATGTTATGTGTTAACTCATATTATAATATATTTACTATATAGGAATATATATTATTATATAGTAATATATTTAATATTATAGTTACTATATAGTACCCTGTTTCCCTGAAAATAGGATCTATTCAAAAAGTAAGGCCTAGACCAATTGGGGGGGTAGGCTTAATATAAGCCCTACCCAAAATTAAGCCCCATTGAAGTGGGTGGGCGTGGCCAGCACAGGAGGCAGCCCTTCCCTTACCCGGTCATCTCAAGGCTGCTCGGCCCCTTAATTGGGGCCTGCGGATTAGCTGAGCCACTCCGACCACTGCCTCCAGTAAGTCTGGCTGCTTTTGCATCCAATCGTGGCCGCAAAAGAAGCAGGAGGCCAAGCGACGCACCCCACACGCCCTCCTTACCTAACGGTGACAGTCACAGCTGGCAATTCTGTCCACGAAACAGCTGATTTTTGGGTGCCGCTCAGGCAGCCGCCTCCAGCAAGTGTGGCCACTTTTGTAGCCAACTGCTTCACGTGGAAGAGGAGGTACTACAAGGGAGCACATTTGTCACATTGGCCAGGTGGGGGCTGCCCACACAGATGCCAGGCCTCAGGGCACCACCCTGAGCAGGCACCAAGCTAGAGGTGGGGGAGGGTCAGTTCCCTTACCCAGTTGCCTGCCCTCCACTGTTTCTCAACAAATGTTTGTGTGTGAGAGACAGAGAGAGAGAGAGAGAGAGAGAGAGACACCAGAGAGGAAACCCTTTCAAATAGCATTGCCTGCAGTTTTTGTTACTCCCCTCCCACTGGACTTTTCCCCTGCCCTGGCTCCTCTCAGCCTCAACTTTGCTCTTGAATGTCTGCGGGCCACTTTCTGGTTGAGCTCCATCGGAGCTTGGTTCTGGGAGAGACCCTTGGAGAGCCAAAGGGAGGCTGAGGGCAAGGGGCGAGGCAAAGCTGATCCTTGTCTTTTCTCCCAAAAGCAGCCACTTCTGCAGCAAGAGATGCGCCCCATGCACCTCGCACTGGCCTTCCAAAGGGTACTGTAGCAGCAGCTATCCGCAATTTTTTTATCATTATTTCATCAAGACCCACATGGCCCGGTATGGTGTTAAAAGTTAACATTTCTGAAATATTACCGTAGCTATGGAGGAAAGGACAATGTGCAGGAAAATCTCCCCCCCACACACACACACCTACAGATCATTCTTTCAAAGAGGAGCCCTGCATAGATGCACATCCAAAAATGCTCCGTCCATGGATTTGGAGCCTTCAGTCTTGAAATCCTGTGCAGAGAAGGCAGAGATTTGCTCCAAAGCTGTGGCGGCAGAACGTTGCACAAGGAGACCTCCGCAGCTACGGTAACATTTCTGAACGTTAACTTTTAACACTGTACTGGGCCACATGGGTCGGGACAAAATAACGATTAAACAATTTTGGATAACTGCTGCTACAGTACTCTCCGGAAAGCCACCGCGAAGTGCATGGGGCACATTGCTTGGCCTCCTGCTGCTTTCGCAGCTGCAATCGATGGCAAACGTGGCCATGCTTACTGGAGGCAGCAGCCAGGACGGCACCCACGAGGCAGCTGTTCTGTGGACAGAATTGTCTGCTGTGACTGTCACTGTTAGGTAAGGAGGGCGCGAGGTGTGTGGGGTGCATCGCTTGGCCTCCAGCTTCTTTTGCAGCCGCAATCGGTTGTAAAAGTGGCCACGCTTTCTGGAGGTGGCGGCCTGAGTGGCACTAGCGAATTAGCTGTTTCGCAAATGGTGGGATGGCCTGCTGCGACCCTTCAGGAAGCCGGCACGAGGGGCCACTCGCCCCGCCTCCTCACCTCATACCGGTACATGGGGGAAAAAATAAGACACACATACACCCCGAAAAGAAGAGCTAGCCAGTTTTTCGGGGTCAAAAGAAAATAAGACCCGGTCTTATTTTCCGGAAAACACAGTAAATATATAGTCAGTAATTAGTAATTAATATATTTAGTAATTAATATATTTAGTTATTGATTTGTAGCAATTTCTAAATTTAAAAAAGCCAATATTTGTTGGGCTAATTTAACAAAGTGTTGCGTAGAATAAAAGTAATACAGATTAAATGTTTAAGTATATTTTTCCTAAAGTTATATCCTAATTTACAATTCAAATTTGTCTTCTTTTTCCATCTTTCTAGAAAACTGAAGCTTCTGATAATATGTGCACTAACCAATTGTGTCGGTTGGAAAAATACAAATCAAATAAGGATTCCTATGAGGTAAACCTTTTATTTTAGTCATTTGGAGGCAGACAGTATTTGGACTTCCCACTGGTTATTACTATAAACCAATAGACTTTTGATATAACAAAGAATACAAAATTAAATCCATTCCCAAATGTTTAGTGATTTTCTAAGAGTTGATTTGAATTGATAGCCTTAGAAGCTGAATGCATCAGATTTATAAAATGTTTTGCTCCCAAAAATATCCTGTCATGTACTACGAATCATCTATATCCACTATATCTCTAGACACTTTTTTCTTCTAGTGTATGTAAAATAGTGGATATTATCAAGATTTACAGGGCATAAAATGTTTTAAAAGGGGATAATTGATGGGAGGGAGGACATTTATTCCAAAATAGTCCCAATAGCAATTCAGTGACACACAATGTTGAGAGGACAATAAAGTGACAATTGATGGAAAAAACAATGGGAAATAATGTGTAAGTATCCACTCATTGATAAAATATATGTTTAAAATTATGATATACTACTTAAAAGTTAGTCTAAGCTTCTGTATAGATTAGGAACTAACATAGTTTCTCTCTGGCAACAATCCAGAAGCGCAGTTCTCTTTCTGCTTCATTCTTCCTGAGGAGAAGTTAGTAGAATCTGCCCCATTTTTCCTAGCTCTCTCCCCTACCTTAATCTGGCTATTACCATTAAAATGCAGCTCACACCACTTGCAGATAGAATAATTTCAGATTGCTGCAATAGACCTAATAATATTGTGAAGTTGCCAAAATTCTTTTAAATACCCAGGCAATTAGACATTGTTGCTTTACCTTTTTCTGCACATAATTGTCCTTGCCATAAAACAAAACTAAAATAACAGCACAGCCTAGGTATTTTTAAAAAAATCGCAATTAATAGAACAACATAACAAAGTAAAAAAGTATTTTGCTCATAAAAGGATTGAATCCTTGTACCTGAAATAAAGTTTTCATTATATGTCATATCCTGCTTCAGTGCCAATTTTGTTATTAGTGCACACTAACAAGTGGCTTTTAGGGTCCTAAGGTTCTTCCATTTATTCTGAAAAGAAACACATTTCAGTATTCTTCAACCATTACACACAAAACGTCCTTTTAACTTGCATTTATGGACATCCTGTTGTGATTTGTGAACAGCTATTCTGAACATAAGAGACGCTTGAAAGTGCATCTGTGTATTACCATGGAGATGGAGGCAGACACCATGTAGTGTTCTGCAGTACCTTGCCATGAAATCAAAAAATGCAGAGGAAAATCCTTTTTAGTAGTTCTCACTGGAGAACTTAAAGGACTTCCTGAGTGAGCCATCATCTTTCTTTTCCCACATGCGAAAGGAATCGACCCCATCACAAAGTGATCATGAGGATGAATTAGATAAAGATTATAAATACACAATAGCAATACCGTTTCATACTGCTTTACAGCCCTCTCTAAGCAATGCTACTGAAAAGTGCATTGTAAAATACTGTTAATAATACTGTTGATGATCTATTTACTACTTGCAATATTATTTTTGAAACCTGTTCTCTGCATGGCAGCTTTCCAAAATTATTTGAAAATAAGTTTTTCTAGAAAGTAGCAACTCCTTAATAATGTGAACATGTGATTCCATTGCAGTAGCAGCTGCACTGGTTCAACCAATTCAGAGCAGTATTGTCTGCTTTTTAACAGTCTGGATTTGGCACCAAACTATTTAGACAGCCATTTCCATTCAAAATATTTTGCTTGTGCATGTGCATTTCAGATGTTTAAAAAAAACCCCAAGATAAGACATAATAGCAATCTACAAATACTTAAAAGAGTATCACATGCAAGAGGTGATGACTCTATGTTGAAACTAAAGATAAGGTAGGGACCAAATTATTGATATGAAAAGGCTAAATATAGGCAGAATTTCCTAATGATTAAAGCTATTAAATAGTAGAACAATCTACTTAGATCTGGAGTGGACTTGAGTTTTCCCAACAGATTGCAAAGCCACCTCTCTAATCTGGTTTAGTAGATTTCTGAATGAGCTGGAAACTGGCTGAGATCACTTAGAAATGTGGTGAACATATTTTCTTGGCAAACTTGAAAAAAGGAGAAAATCTGAAAGAGGTTCATAAAAATTGTTTCTGTTTATAATTTTGATTTACTAAGGACAATTCACGAGCAAAACCAAGAAAATTTTTTCCCAAAATGCATATTCAAATAAAAATTTCTAAAATCACAGTGTATATATATTTATTTTAAAAAAACTATTCAATTTCTTTAATTTTCACATGAATATGAAAGACTGTGCATCTAATACCATTAGAACAGTAAAAGTTAAATGCCCAAAATAATGGACAAAAAAATTAAAAAATATATCTAAAAGACAATTTTAAGAGAATCTTCAATAAGTACTGAATATACTTACTGAATATACAGTATATTTACTTGCTGTTCTAATTAGTTACAATTTCACTGTTTTATTATTGTTTTTGTAAATTTTGCCACTCTTGTTTGTTGTGGGCCACTTAGAAATGTTTAAATAATTTTGAAATGTTTTAAAATAAATATAGTCAATGCCTGCATATGAAAAATGTTCTTTCTAATTGAGGCTTTGAAAGGTTCATAAAATCATTTTGATGTGATCAAGAAAATTGCAGACATGATATATTTATTTCCATTGATCTGCGACTTTTCAAATTCTAGATAAAGCTTTTAAAAAGTTTTTAAACCTTCTGAAGTGCCTCTAGCAAGCCAATTTTATGTGTGCTTTAAATTTGAAGGACAAAAAAAACAAGGAACAAGAAGCAAAGGATGAGCTTTCTCATCCATTTCTGAAGAAATTTGAGAAAAGTCCACCAACATACAAAGAGCCTTCCTCCTGCCTTACAACGCAGATGCAAAACAAAAAGTCTCTGTTAAGTGATCGAAGAGCAAGTCATGGAGGACTGCCTGAAAAAGGTATGCGAAAGTTACCTTTGTTGGTTGTAGCATTTCCTAGATTAATAGGGCTTTACTATTTGAAGGGTAACTTACCTGTACTTCATTCAAGTTCATGTGTCCTCAGTCCCAGAATAGTTACACACTTGTCACTGGGGAGTCAGAAGTATGCACAAAGGAGTAGTGCCACATTATAAATTACATATTTGTTATGATAGTATATTTTCATTAGGAATTGGGTTTTGCCCAGCGACAAGTCCTTCCATAAAGCTTTTTTTCTCACCCTTATTAAGCAAGTTCTCACTTAATTAAATCTTGCATCCTGTGAGGGGAGGGTTTTTTTTTTTAAAAAAACTGATCTCCTGTAGTTGTTTTTCATTTGACGTTTTCTGCATTATATCATAGATTCTCCTAGTAATTTGAATCCTTTCTATGAAGCAGCAACAGGCAAGGTGGGCTGTGTCACCTCCTACTCTCTGGAATACCTTGAAATTCAGCAACCAGTTCCAAGAACCCCAAGACTCGGGAAACGACAAGATTCACCTCAACAAGAGCCCTCAAGTCCTGGCAGTCAGAATTTGGATTCTCCTTTGATTCTGAACATTGTGCATTCTTTTGAAACTGGTGATCGAGAGGATCAGATAGACCAAGTCTCTCCATCTCATCAGTATCAAATGCTTAGCTCACCAGTAAATTTTGGTCGAAGAAGTTCCAGTGAAAGAACATTGTCTCCCCTCTTCCAGCCTGGGGGCACTTCTCCCAGTCCCACTAAAAGTCCAGGGCATCCCACTCAACTTTCATTTACCTATGATGAGAAGAGCAGCTCTTTCAAAGAGGAATCAGTCTCTCCAACACAGCTGAATGTCTCCAATCCTTTGGGGAGCCCTAATTGTGTGAAAAGTAGAGGCCGATTCCCTATGATGGGCATTGGACAGATGATGAGGAAAAGGAATCAGTCAGTGGGATCTCCCACAGAAAAGTCTCTGGAAGCAAGAATGCCTCAGTTGCAACAAATGAGCCCCACACAAATTTCATTCAGTATCACAGATCCTATAAATGGCCAGTGCTGAGCCATTTTAAAAACCTCAAATTATTTAGTGCTGGTTTTGGGGACCCTCCCACTGAAATTTACATTCACCTTTTTTTCTGTACAGTTTGTTATTGTATCTAATAAGATAATCAAAAGCCCAACTATTGCGGCATTTGCTCATGCAGTTGACAAAAAGATAAGTATGTCAAGTGATGTAAAGTGTTTTTTAAAACCTACATAATCTCACGTAGGTAGCGTTTGGCTGTATTCTTATATTACCTATAAATATATGTAAACAAGAACACTCCAGGTTAACAACTTGACTAAATGGTGAAATATTAATTTGGTTAGAATGCTACTTTTATTTCTGAAGCTATGATTCTGAATTCGTGCTTTTCTGACACCAGCGTTATACACATCATGCAAAGGAAGAAAAAAAGTGTACCTTTCCCCCCTATTTCTCAGATAAATTTGTCTTCTTAGGTACATCCAGGAGGAATAAGAAATAGAGCAGAAAGAACTTGGAATAAAAGCAAAAAGCTAGACAGAATGAAACATAAAAAAAAAAACCAATTTTACTGTATCTTAAGTATTACATCACTTAAAATCTGTATTTTTTCTAAAGAAAAGGCTGACTTGCAAAGCTATGCTACCAAACAGAGATACAATCATCTTAAAATAAGGAAATCTGTTTTCAGATTTTATTTTCACCATGAGACTATACTTTTAAAAAGGCTTATCTTTTTTATATAGTTGTACTATTTCCGTAAAACTGTCCATAGAAAAGCTATATAATCTCCGTTTTAGTAAAACAATGTTAAATATACTTGAAATTGTTGCTGGAAGACTTTGCACTGTATTAAGAGGATGTGAACCATGAACATATCAGCTATCCATTTACAAAAGTAATGATCGGACATTTAGCTGAATATTTAAAAAAAAAATCAGCAGTATCATAAACCAGAAGGATTAACATTTTTGAAAAGTAAATATCTTCTGTATTTTACAGTTCTTTTTATTTCACAGTAAAAAAAAATGTCAACATAAAAAATAGGCTTCTTTTGTGCAAATATTTGGCTGAATTGTTGATCATAATAAAATTAGCCTGGCAGAACAGTAGATTGTCACTAATAATGTGTGCTTTCCCTCTTTTTTAGCATGCACAATATGGGGATGTTAATATCTTAGAAGACAAATCAGAACTAAGTACTTATTTTGATACTTGATCTTTCTGACATGTTAAGAAAGGCCAACATGGAGAAAACAGCTCATTTAGCTTCCTGACTGGACAAGCATTTAAAGTCATAGTACTCCTTTTAAGTCAATGAAACTGTTCTCATACAGTTGAGCACGTCAAGATGAAATGAGCACTCTGGCTCATTTTTTAAATTCCAAAGGTGGTATTACTTTCATCCAGGAGTACAGGAAGATCTCCATAATTACTCTCATAGCTAGCACTGTACCCAGCTGCAAGCCCAGTCACTGGGATCAGCTTTCTTAAACAGCCAATGAATGATGATGCCTGTACTTTTGGGAGTATACTACTGGCCACAAAGGGTAACTTCGATGATTAGATGTTTGTCTGTATGGAGAAAATTCCCTATTAAGAACAAAGTACTAGTAGTTGAGAAAAATTTAAGCTTAGTCTTGTCCCTGATTGGCAAATTTTCTGAGCATTAGAATATTTTCCCCGAATGAATACACTTACATTCTGCCTTTTGTGTCCACACATGCAGTCTACAGTTTTGTTTTATTTATTTATATTAATATTCAACCTTTATTATTATTTATAAATAACTCAAAGCAGTTAACATATCTAATGCTCTTGCCTCCTCCTAAAATGTGAAATTACTAAAATTACAATCAAATCTGCTCTTCATGTTCTCAAGAAACCACAGAATGAAAGCAAGTTGTGCTTCACTGCTTTTGGTCAGGGCCAAGGTTGTAAATATTTCAGAAAAAAATGTTTCCCTATGTCCAACCCCCCCCCCCCCCCCCATCATGTATAGGAAAGTTCAGTAGGGCTAGTAATAAAATCAGAAATACCAAGGCTCTTTGCTTTTGTCACCTAGCTGATCTTGTCTGGGCAACTTTCTTGGTCAAGATGGTTACAGCCCTGCCAGTTTCCCACAAGCAAAGTTAACAAGGAAGCTGGCAGGGAAGATTGCAAGTCACTCTTTCTCTTTTTCTCAACACCCTCTCTCCAGCATGTATGCACACTCGCACACGCAGCAGCATCCCTCTAGCCCACAGGCACTTGGGCAGTGCCACACAGAGCCCTTCTAGCCCATCACACTAACTTTTCCCCACTGTACTCACCCATGCCCCAGCTGCCTAAGAGCCACTGGGGACTTGAAACTTCCAGCTAGTTTCTTGATCAAGGAAATTGCAAGTAACAGTCATGAGGTCCTCTCTTAATGATCCATAATTTTTAAGAATAATAATAGGGCTCCTAGGATTGTTGTCACTAAGATGTAATGTGATGTCTGCTTTATGACCACATCACCTAATAATGGAAGTTGTGGTCCTAATTATTGCCGTTAACTGAGGACTATACTTTTCCCCCTACAGGCCTTTTCCATGAACAAAGCAGGCTGTGTTTCCCATTTGTAAAGCAGATTACAGTTCAACAGAGCAAGAATGTAAACAAAGAAGCACCCTCCTGCAATGGGATTATGATAAAGATGCATTATAAGTACATTAATATCAGAATGAATCAAGTGTTGCTGGTCTTTATTATTGAAGTGTTGTTGCATGAATATTTCATGTATACAACTCTATACATAATTTTGCTTACCAGTTGCTTCCTAAGAATGCTTGTTAATAGAATACAGATATGCATTAAGCACTATCTTGATATTCATAACAGAATTGTGGAATTTAATTCTTGAAAAATGGCACTAATATATGAGGACAGTTATTAAATAGACATATTTAGGTAATTTATATAAATCACTTAGATATATGACATATTCAACTATTCTACAGCAGCTATAAAATTATCCATATATATAACATGAAATCTATTCTAAAGGGACAAATGTATGGACCTTAGCTAGCATTTGTACAATCCAGGTTGAAGCAAAGTTGTAAGTGCTTTTGTGTGTGTGTGTGTGTGGGTGTGTGTGCATTCAAACTTCACAGTGTATGCTTCCATGCCTCACTTGGAAAAAAATAGAGTTCACTAGAATTCGGCCTTCAGATTTTTAATTCACTGATAACTGATCTCGCACAATGGGGAACAGAAGGGATTTAAAGCTTTTTCATGCATTTCTTACTAATTTCAAAAATCAATCTTCCCATTCAACTATTTTCTACTGTAAGGAATGTTGTGCAAGCTGCTAGACAATCAGTTCCTTGTGGACAAGTGCATGGACTTGGGGAGGAGAGTCCTAAAACCTTAAACCTGTTTTTCATGAAGAAAGAGGTAAGACCTGTACCTCATACAGGACTGGTAACTGAAGGACATGGAGCAGGTGGAAAATTGGAAACAGAAAGTGAGTGGGAATTCTTCACCTACAGTGTGCACTTGCTTGGAGTGAGCAATAATTAGCTGAAAGTCTTCTCAGTGGGATCCCAATCACAAGCACATAACATCATGCTAAAAGAGTTTGAGTTATGCAGTTGGTGAAAACCATGTATAGTTATAATGAAATGTATAGTAATAATAGATTTGTTTACTAGTGTAATTAGAATTATTCTATTATAATGGGTACCTAATGATACAGCAGAGCTCTATAACAAAATCTAAAAATTATATATCAGAATTCATTCTGGGGGTTACAATCGCAAAAAAGGTATATATAATATTTTCATTAACTCCTATTGTTTACTATTTCATAACTAACTTCAGTTGTACACTGCTCAAAAAAATAAGGGGAACACAAGCAGAAGACATCTGAGATCTGAATGAATGAAATAGCCTTATTAAATACTTTGTTCTTTACATACAGTAGTTTTGTGTTCCCTTTAGTTGTTTGAGCAGTGTATAAACTACTGTATGTAAAGAACAAAGTATTTAATAAGGCTATTTCATTCATTCAGATCTTGGATATCTTCTGCTTGTGTTCCCTTTATTTTTTTGAGCAGTATACTTTCAGCTCTTAATATGAAGGGATTTATTCATCTGGCTTATAACCATTTGTAATCTTTTGGCAATATGATCACTTTGAGTCAGTTTCTCCTGGAAAGTCATCTGTTTTTAAAGTTCCAGTTCTGACTCCTGCAGTTCAATTTAATTTATGCTATTAAACTTTCAATAAATTGAGTTTCTTGAAATGGATTCTCTATCACAAAGTTAGCCACTTTAAACAATCAGCTTACTATGTGTAGCAGCCATAGTGCTGTTGTGATTAAGGATGTACATATTAACTGGGCAAATAGGAAATTGAGTTAAATAAAAAAAATTGCTCAAACTGTGAAAAAAAAGAGAAATGTTATAAATATCAATGCAGAGAATAAGCTGGTGCCCAGCCCTGATGTTCAAGATATTTTTGTATTGTGAACTAACTGGTTGTTCTTAGTTAATAAAGCTTTTTCCAACATGGTTCCTCCCAAAGGCCTTATGGGTAGGATTTATGGGATTTGTAATTTCAAAGGCATTAAAGTGAGGCTTCTTTAGAAACTTGCTGATATTTTCATGGTTTAGGATGGACTCCAGACTGTTTTAATTAGTTTGTCTGTGGCTTAGGCTCTAGAACTTTGTAATTTGGGAAAATATCTTTTGAGGACAACCAGGTTTCAGGAAGCCAACATCAGGGAGAGGGAAACAGCAACTGTTAAAAGAACAGGAACAGAGCTGTATTAGACCAGAACAAAGGGCTCTGGTCCAGCATTTAATTTTCCACAAAGATAGGCTTACAAGGGAAGTACAGATATCTTTGCAGATGTTCCCTAATCAATGACATTCAGAGGTGGTGGTGAATTTCTGACTAAAGACTGTTGTTAGCTTTACTCCTTGTGAAAATTTTTAATCCCCTTTTCAGGGTTGTGCAAATCCTTTCCAGGAATGTCTTCTAGTAACAAATACCTCACTTAAATTATGTGGTGAGATCACAAGACTCTGTCTTATTTATTCTGAATCTTCCATGTTAACATTTTGAAAGAAAAATGGATAGGCATTTTACATAATTTCCTATACCTTTATTGTGGCTTTTCTAAACTTAAAAGCCGAAATATTGTTACCTCAACTTCAAAAATTGCTGTGGTCTCTTTATGACTATTGCTCGTTCCTGTATTTTTTTCTTAGTGTAATATCATTTTTTAAAATGTAGCAACCAAAACTATTCTTGATAATCACAATTACATCTATTAGCCACTGATACTTTTTTATTACTGTATTATATTAAACAATGCACTAATAGAAAGACTTAAGATATTCTTCCAATGCTGAAATAATCTGTCACTGACCTTTTCTTTCCCCACCTCCTGCAAAAGGGTGAGCTAACCCACCCACCCCATCGCAAAGCCAGCTTCTTCTTGTAAGGCTAAATTTAGTTGGGAAAGGAAACATTCTTTTACCTTTTCAGATCAGTTGCCTGCCTTTTATCTATCTGGGCAATGCCCTCTGAACCCAACAGCTTAAGCATTTAGTAGAGACAGGCTGCTACAGTGGATTCTGGGTAGTAGAGATATGCAGGCATGGCTCCCTGGATCTCCCTGAGTAAGGGGTCTGACCGATTATAAGCCTCTAGAAAATCTGTGTGTTTTGAATGAACTCAGTCCTGTCAGATAGACACTGCCTGAATGTGAATACAGTAAAAGTTCAGTTTAGTGGACTAATATGGGAAGCGTTGTCTTTTAAAAGTGAATGTTTTATGCATGTATATTTTATGTACTTTTACATTTATGCATACATAAGATAGTACATGGGATTTTAAATATATACATCATTAAAATGTACTTTAATTTCATTGTATTATATATGTGGTATATATCTATTATAATAAAAAGTATGATTTCTGACTTGAAGGGCTGAAAAATACCAATATGGGTAAATTCTGCTCCCAGTAATCTGAATTTTCTTGGCCTCAACAATCCCACCTTCAACAACAAAATAAGGGTTGTATTGGCCATTGCAATCCTCCTAGTCCACCTGACCAAGCCAGGGCCTGAAT